CATGATGCCCTTCAATTTTGCACTTGAAGCAAATAATCTTGGCCGAATCCTTGACTTGTTTTTGGCCCTTCTTCTTGTTGATCTTGGACTTATTCTTCTTGTTGGAGTTGAATCCAAGTCCACCTTTGTCATTGGGGGATTTTTGCACACTCAAGATATTGTTGAGTGTGGATTTCCCTTGATGACTCTTTTCCAAGTCTTTCTTCAAGGAAGTGACTTGGGCCTTGAGCTCTTTGATTTCCTCTACATGGTTAGTCTCAACACAAGTACTAGAGGAAGTATGAGCTTCATCATTAGAGCAACAAGGCAAGGAAAGCAATTCATCGCAAGATGTACCAACATTGTGAGTAGATGAATTACAAGGACTAGCACATGGCAATATACTATTTTGACTAGAAGTAGTGCTAGTATCCACATGAGGCTCACTAGATGTTACCTTGGCAATCATGGCCTCATGAGCTATGTTTAGCACACTATGGGATACTAGAAGATCATCATGAGAGCTTGAGAGCTTTTCATGACTTTCTTCCAATTTCCCATAATTGCTAGATAGCACCTCAAGTTGAGCCCGTAGCTCAACATTCTCCTTCAAAATGGATGCTTCACAAGTAATAGAATTAGTAGCACAAGCATCATCATTAACAACAAGAGGAGAAGGCAACTTGGCAAGCTCTTTGAGATAAGAAGCTTCAAGTTGGGCATGAGACTCGGTGAGTTTGATGAGCTCACCCTTGATGACCCTTGAGCCATTTTCGAGGTGCTCAAAATCCTCAAGGAGTCTAGCATGAGCAATTTCAAGCTTAGCATTTTTAGTTTTAAAAACATTGGCCACCTCAAGGGCTCTATCAATAGATTCCTTCACTCTAGACAATTCTAGAGCAAAAGTCTCCTCAAGAGATTCCTTGGTGGTTTGTTCAAGTTCAAGGGCTTGAGAGAGGTCCGCAATCTCATTTGCGTAATCACGCCCATGAGCTTCCATTTTCTCAATGGTGACCTCATGCTCCTCGAGATGAGATTCCAACTCCTCAATATATTTCTTGCCCTCAATGGCAATGGACATAATTTCCATGAAGTTGGAACGAGCAATTTTATTTTTATGAAGAGCTTTAAAAATCATCTCCCCCTTAGTTTTTAAGGAGGCAACATTATTATTCTCTTCATCATTATCCTCATCATCATTAGCATCAACATCATCATCAAGAGACATATTGGGGTTCAAAGTAGGAGATACCTTTGACGCCTTGGCCATAAGGCAAAAAGCAATAGATGATGATGTAGGATCCCTTGAGGCACCATTAAACACCACATCTTGTTCCATGGAGTGTTCGGTTTCCTCTACATTGTTAGCACAACAATTCGAGGAAATAGATGCATTTTTATCATGGCAACAAGACATAGCAAGCATATCATCATGAGATTTAGTCAAGCAATTTCTACATGATATGCAAGGACTATGAACACAAGCATGTGAAACATTTGAAGTGCTCGAAGTGTTAAAGCCCAAAGAGGGAGCATTGCAATAATATAGTGATGAAGAATCATCCACAATAAGCATACTATCATCATTGCAATGACCAACACTACTCACCATATCATTACCTTGTGGCAAACCACATGTAGGTGAAGTAGAAGAAGTTGAGAAGACTATATGACCGGAGGTGGAGGAAGAACAACCATCCCCACAAATCTTGGACACACCATATTTATCTTGAAGCTTTGTCCATAACTCATGAGCATCCCGGAACGGCATGAGTTGAAATATAACTACATTGCTCAAAGCATCGAAAAGCACATTAGAGGCTTGAGCATTGAGATAAGAGTTTTTCTCATCCTCTAAAGATAATCTTTGGGGATCCTTTGGAGGAGAAAAACCCATATCTACAATTCGCTCTAAATTTGGGTCCATGACCCTAAAGAGATTAAGCATGCGAATTACCCAAACATCAAAATTTGTGCCATCGAAACTAAGAGTGTCAGAGAATCCTAATCCTCTAGTCGACATCTTTACTCTCTGGGCGGTTAAGCCCAACAAAGAGAGACGAGGCTCTGATACCAATTGAAAGATCGTGGATGTCGCCTAGAGGGGGGGGGGTGAATAGGCGTTTTAAAATAATTACGGTAGAGGCTCGAACAAATGCGGAATAAACCTAGCGGTTAATTTGTCAAGCACAAAACCTACAACAACTAGGCTCACCTATGTGCACCAACAACTTATGCTAAGCAAGGTAAGCAACAAAGTGATAGCAAGATATATGACAAATAACAATATGGCTATCACAAAGTAAAGTGCATAAGTAAAGGGCTCGGGTAAGAGATAACCGAGGCACGAGGAGACGATGATGTATCCCGAAGTTCACACCCTTGCGGATGCTAATCTCCGTTTGGAGCGGTGTGGAGGCACAATGCTCCCCAAGAAGCCACTAGGGCCACCGTAATCTCCTCACGCCCTCGCACAATGCAAGATGCCGTGATTCCACTAAGGGACCCTTGAGGGCGGTCACCGAACCCGTACAAATGGCGACCCTTGGAGGCGGTCACCGAACCCGTACACTTTGGCAACCCTTGGGGGCGGTCACCGGTACCCGTCAAATTGCTCGGGGCGATCTCCACAACCTAATTGGAGACCCCGACGCTTGCCCGGAGCTTTACACCACAATGATTGAGCTCCGAACACCACCAACCGACTAGGGGGCCCAAGCACCCAAGATAAACAAGCTCAAGGGCACCAAGCACCCAAGAGTAATAAGCTTCTCAACTTGTAACTTCCACGTATCACGTGGAGAACTCAAACCGATGCACCAAATGCAATGGCAAGGGCACACGGAGTGCCCAAGTCCTTCTCTCTCAAATCCCACCGAAGCAACTAATGCTAGGGAGGAAAATGAGAGGAAGAACAAGAAGGAGAACACCAAGAACTCCAAGAACTAGATCCAAGGGGCTCCCCTCACATAGAGGAGAAAGTGATTGGTGGAAATGTGTATCTAGATCTCCTCTCTCTTTTCCCTCAAAAACTAGCAAGAATCCATGGAGGGATTGAGAGTTAGCAAGCTCAAAGAAGGTCAACAATGGGGGAAGAACACGAGCTCAAAGGATTAGACTCAATGGGGAAGAAGACCCCCTTTTATAGGAGGGGAGAAAATCCAACCGTTATCCCCTCACTCAGCCCGCACAACGCGGTACTACCGCACCAGGGGCGCGGTACTACCGCGAGGCTGCGCGGTACTACCGTGGAGGACCACGGTACTACCGCGACAGCAGCACAGGCCGGAACTTGCCTGACTAGGGGGCAGTACTACCGCTTGCGCGGTACTACCGCTCCCCCTTGCGGTACTACCGCAAGGCAGGAAAGTCTCAGCCTGGGAAGGGCGCGGATGAAATAAATTACATCCGTGCCTACTTCCGCTGAGGGAGGACCTGCGCAAAAACTCCGGCACGGTACTACCGCACACGAAGAGCGGTACTACCGCGTAGGGCGCGGATGTAAAAAAATTACATCCGCCCCTACGTCCGCTCATGCTGCTGAGCCTGGCCAGAGCCCACGGTACTGCCGCGCCCACGGCGCGGTACTACCGCGTAGGGCGCGGATGTAAAAAATTACATCCGCCCCTACTACCGCTCGAGCAGCTGCGCCTGGCCTGAGGCCACGGTAGTATTGCTCCAACAGAGCGGTACTACCGCAATGGCCTGCGGTACTACCGCTCCAAAGAGCAGTACTACCGCGTGCCCTAGATCAGCAACACTAGCAGTCCTTCATTTTGCAGAGAAGACAACGGGGGTAACAATAAAACCAGAACCGCCATAACTTCCGCAAATGAGCTCCGAATTGAGAAAACTCAAGCTTGTTGGATACAAGACAACGAGTAGCATCAAAACAGAGACTGGTTAGTAAGAAGAGGCAGAGGAGGTATGCCTTACAAGAGAGGAGAGAAACCTCCAACAGAGAAGAACCGGCATACCCTCCAACATCGAAAACATTATAGAAGACGCATGTGAACTCCGTTTTCGATGAACTGGAGCTTGTCATAAAAATGACCAAAAGCTCCAAAACTCACAAGGAGAAGAACCAAACAAGAACCAATAAGGATGATGCAAGGATGCAATGGTTTGAGCTCTCTACGAACGATACGATCAAGCAACTCATCGAGAGCCCCCCTTGATAGTACGGCAATCGATCCTATAACCCGGTCTCCCACAACTACCATGAGACCGGTAAAATAGAAAACCTATCAAGGGCAAACCTTTGCCTTGCACAAAGTCCACTTGAGCTAGATGATGATGATCTACTCCTCCTCAAGATGGACCACCTTTCTTGATTGCGTTGGCTCGATGAAGACTAGTTGATTTCTCCCCCATACTCCACTATGGGTGAGCCACTCTTCCGCTCATCTTCACAACTCCATTGTCACCACAATGGACGGCAAGCTTCAAGCACTTGATCTCTTCATGATACATCACTTGAACTTGCACACCGCAACCTAACCCCATAAAGAACTCTCACGAAGACCATGGGTTAGCACACAAAGTGTAATGGACAATGCTTACCATACCATGGGACTTGATCCCTCGGTACATCTTGTGCGCTTTGTGTGTTGACTCTTTTCAACTCTCTTCATTTGGATGATGTCTTGAAGGTGGACATGAATGATCACACAATCTTATTCTTCAAGACATGCTTGCAATAAGCTCAACACTCACATGACCGATCTTTGGATAATTCCTTAAAAGGACGATGGTCATCACAAACTCTCCTTGAAACCAACACATGGACTCCAAGAAAAGCCTATGGACAAACCCTTCAAATACAACTCAAGGAAATCATTAGACCATAGAGATTGTCATCAATTACCAAAACCAAACATGGGGGCACTGCATGTTCTTTCATAAAGTATACAAGGTAACTCATTAAATATGTTCTTTCCTAGGATTAATTCTAATGAAGAGAGCTAATTTTTTCATACTACAAAGTCAAGTATAAGATTTTCACTATATTCCTGTAGGGAATGTTAGGTGGTCAAGAAGTTGCAATCAAGAGGCTAAGTAGAGATTCTCAACAAGGAACAAAAGAATTTAGGAACGAAGTAATTCTAATTGCCAAATTGCAACACAGAAACTTGGTTCGACTTCTTGGATGCTGCAGTGAGGGAGATGAAAAGCTCCTGATATACGAGTATCTGCCAAATAAGAGCTTAGATGCTACCCTTTTTGGTGTGTATTCTAATAACAAACCATGATTTCTATGACAACTTGAATTTGTTTCTTACATTTGTTTCTGTTTTAGATGACTCGAGAAAATTGCTGTTGGATTGGTTGACACGGTTTCGTATAATCAAAGGGATTGCAAAGGGACTTCGATATCTTCATGAAGACTCAAGGTTCACCATAATTCATAGAGACCTCAAAGCTGCAAATGTTTTGTTAGATGCAGATTTTAAACCCAAGATAGCGGATTTTGGTATGGCGAGGATCTTTGGCGATAACTTGGAAAATGCGAATACCCAACACCTTGTTGGAACATAGTGAGTATCCATTTAAAAAACCCATATTGTTTTTTCAGTAAATTTAACTCCCATTAGACACCTCTTGTAATTAAAATGATCAAACAGTGGTTACATGGCTCCTGAGTATGCAATGGAGGGTGTCTTCTCTACCAAGTCTGACGTCTACAGTTTTGGCGTGTTACTACTGGAGGTTGTAACTGGTATAAGGAGAAACTCCATTAGTGAAACCATGGGATTCCCTAGCCTCACAGTATATGTGAGTACACATGAATTTTGTCAAATTTCGTTACGAAAAGTGGAAGCATTTTTTGTTGGATATTGGAAAATAGTATTGATATGATGTTTTGGTTGTTTCAGTCATGGAATATGTGGAAGGAAGATAGGACCAATGAGCTGACGGACTCATCTATCTTAGATACTTCACCAGATGAAATTCTGCTTTGCATCCATGTAGCACTCTTGTGTGTTCAGGAGAACCCCGATGATAGGCCGCTCATGTCATCTGTTGTGTTTGTCCTAGAGAACGGGACGGGGAGCACCCCACTTACATCCCCCAATCTCCCGGCCTACTTTGCGAGACAAAGTGCTGCAACAAATCAGATCAGAACTGACATTCCGACATCCGTGAACAGCTTTACTCTTACTGAGATAGAGGGACGATGAAATAAATCTTTTGTTTTAGCTGTATTGAAATGCTCTCCAAGGAAACAATACATTAGATAAATCGAACACTATCGTTAAATGTATGGCTCAATAGTTAGCGATGTCATTTTCCAAAAAAGGAAAACAGGGATGTATCATGTGTTGCTTAGTAGTCATTACTATCTTTTCGTATGTTCTCCATTCAATTTTTCATTTGCATAACATATAGTCTCAGTTACAAAAAAACTACTCCCTCTATATCAAAATGTAAGACTTTTTTTATACTCCCTTTTGATACAGAGGACTATATGTTAGGATATATGTACTACTTGAAAAAACAAAGGACAGCAACCCTCTTGTCAATTGGATGAGCTTCCTCCTGCTAACGTTTCTGCCTTTTTTTTTTCCAGATAGCAGAAGTCGTCTTAATTTTTCATCTACTTTTGCTAAGGGTTTGCAGTTGGAAAAAAGTTATATTTCTGCAGCCTTTTTTAACTCTCCACAGAAATTCATCAGTCACAGTTATGCTAGTGCCTGCCTGTGGGCCCTGACTATAGTACTTGCACACATCTCTGAATATGATACTTGTCTAAAACAAAACTCTGAATATGATACAGGCTAGAGTAAAAGCATCTCTGAACATGCCGATTCTATCCGCTGGACGCTTACATCCTCTAACAATTACACCGCGGCCTCTGCCTATGACACACACTTCATCGCTCACATCCACAACCCAAGTTTGCACAAAGTCTGGAAGCTTAAAACGGATGGAAAGGTTCAATTCTTCATGTGGTTGCTCGTCCAAAATCGGCTGTGGACCGCGGACAGACTCTGTACGCGTGGATGGCCGCACAATGCAACTTGTGCACTCTATGATCAATCCATGGAAACATTGACACATCTTCTGCTCGAGTGCCCATTCAGCAAGCAAGTATGGTTCGCCTTCAGCTCTTCCCACCCAGGGACAGCGGCTGCTGCTCGCACGACCACAACTGCCCTTGGATGGTAGAAGAAGACCTCATGTTTTCTCTCCAAGAAACATGCCATCCACAAGTCTGTCCTGCCAGTTTTGGTTGCCTGGCACATCTGGAAAGAACGCAATCGCAGGATTTTTGAAAGTACGACCCTGGCTCTCTCCGGCTTAGTTAGCTTGATTAGAGATGACCTCCTGACTATTGGCCAGGCTTTTTGCGAGGAGTAGTTTTTTCCTCTCTTTTCTTTTTTCTCTATCCTTTGTTCTGACTGATTTCAGTCTGTACAGTTTTCCCTCGCCTATAATGAAAAGCAGAGCTCCTGCCGTTAACCGTAAAAAAAAAGCATCTCTGAATGAAGACCCTGCATCCCAGCTGTTCTGAACTTGTGATCATGATCATGTTGCTTTGCTGTTAACCTTGTAATTAAGCTGTGACAAGATGAGGTCATGAGGTAGATAAACACCAAACTACGCATAGTGGCATTTACAACGGTAGCACACGTTACCCTTAACTCCTACATTTGTACCTGGTCTGGTCTGACTAACTACTTCATGTATAGCTTAATGTTTAAGTCACTAGTCAGCAGTGACTGTGGCATCCCAACTCCGACGCGGACAACCAAAATGTCAACTCCCGATACACTCTCAAGTTGTCTCAAGTCTCAACTGCTCTGAAGCAATTTGCCATTATTCCGAAAACGAGTAGGTCTCATTCGTCAAAGCATTTTTTTAATGTAAACCACCGAGGCTTGATGCAAGTGCTCCCAATTATAAGCATCTGTCAGAAGCTTAGCACCGACCATCACCTATGGGTTGGCCAGCTGCTTTCACCTGCCGCATCGGCGCCGGAGCGCTGATCCTTCTGAGCTTCCTGCCGTTGTGCGCGTGTGATGACCGGCTTGTCCCCGGCAAGCCGCTCTCGCCTGGCGCAACCATCATCTCGGACGATGGTTCCTTCGCCTTGGGCTTCTTTGACCCCTCCAACTCCACTGCTATGGCCAAGCTGTACGTCGGCATATGGTACAACGACATACCTGAGCTCACCGTCGTGTGGGTCGCCAACCGGGAAACTCGGACGTGGATTTTTAGAACAGCTGCACCCCGGCCCTTGTATCCTGGTTGTCCAATATTGCTTTAAGATCTGTGCAACACAACTAACTTTTCGTATGAAAATTTCTCTTTTTTGTTTCTCTCACATAAAAGATGTCTTGAAGTTCAAACCTTTGCAGCGTGGCAAAGCTTTCCATCTAGAATCTAGGATAAATCTTTCAGAATTTTTTGTCAAACATAAATATACAAAAAATGATTTTTTACATTAAAAAAATCGTTTTTGTATATTTATATTTGACAAAAAAATCTATAAGATTTATCCTAGATTCTAGATAGAAAACTTTGCTACGCTGCAAAGGTTTGAACTTCAAAATATGTTTTATGTGAGAGAAACAAAAAAGAAAAATGTGTTTGCACGAATCGCGATGCGTAGAATGGATGGCTAGATAGAGAGGGCCCCGGTACAGCTGTGCTATTTTATATTTTCGCCGGGAAACTCCAGTCTCAAAAAGGAACATCACTTCCTCTTCGCCAATGCTTTCCCTCACCAACACTTCCAATCTTGTTCTGTCCGATGGTGATCGTGGCAGCCGTGTCCTCTGGACGACGACCAATGTGGCTACCGACCCAGGCTCGCCACCCCCGGCGGCGGTTCTTCTGAACACCGACAATCTCGTCATCCGATCTCCCAACGGCACCATGCTGTAGCAAAGCTTCGACCACATGACCGACACACTTCTTTCTGGTATGAAGATCCGGTTCAGGTACAGGACACGTGTCCACGACGAGCGTCTAGTGTCCTGGACGGGTCCCACCGACCCCTCGCCAGGGCGCTTCTCCTATGGCGGGGATCCAGACACACTGCTCCAGATTTTCCTCTGGGACGGGGAGCGCCCGGTGGCCCGCACCCCGCCATGGACAGGGTATCTGGTGACGAGCCAGCGCAGGTACCAGCAGGTGGAGGCCCTGAACACCACTGCTATCATCCTCTATCTGGCTGTCATCAACAACGATGACGAGGTCTATCTACCTCACCTATAGTCTGTCCGACGGCGCCCCGCCTACTAGGTATGTGCTAACATACTCCGGCGAGTACCAGCTCCAAAGCTGGAGCAGCAAGTCGTCAGCCTGGGACGTCCTCGGTGAGTGGCCGTCTCCTGTATGCAACCGCTATGGCTTTTGCGGTCCCTATGGCTACTGTGATGAGACAGCGGCGCCTGACCCGACTTGTAAGAGCAACTTCAACGGGGCGATCCAAACGGACGCGTGCTTTGTTTGCTTTTTGTCCGTTTGGATCGATCAGGCGGACGTTGGCGTCCGCATTTTAAAATGGGTCAGCTTGATCGTCCAACGGAAAGGCCGACCTAAATGTGACGACGTGAAAAAAACAAGTTACATGAAATAAACATAATTAAACATAAAAGTGGCCGGTCAAACGCCGGTCAAAGTCCACCTACATCTAATAAACATTAAATAAAAACATTAAAAAAAGTCTGCGCCCACCTGCTGCCGCCCCGCATGCTGCCCTAGACGTCGTCGGCCTTGCCCTTGCCCTTGCCCTCGACGTCGCCGTCGTCGGTGAGGTCGATGAAGACCGGAGCAGGGCCAGCCCACCCGAACGCCGCCTGGTACGTTGCCAGGGCAGCTCCTCCGGCGTCTGCTGGGGCGGCGGCATTGCGGCATGCCACGCGCGCTCCTCCTCCTCCTCCTCCTCGAGCCGGAGCGCCTCCGCGTCGTGTTGGAGCATGGCCTCGTAGCGTATCTGCTCCTTGCCGTCGCCCTGCTCCTGGCGGAGCCAGTGCTCCTTCCATCGCTCGAGGTGGGCCGCCTCTTCCTCCGGCGTCGCGGCGAAGTAGACGGGAGGTGCGCTCACCCACTCGTGGTACTGGCCCGTCCACGAGTAGGCCTCCTCCGGCCAAGTGGGTGGAGGTGGGGAGCGCTTACGCTCCGGCTCCGGCTCCGGCTCTGGTTTGGGTTGTACGGGCGACGACGGCGGAGGCGACAACACGAAGAGCGGGGTGTGGACGGAGTCCCCCGCCGCCGACAGGGCAAGGGCTTGCTCCAGCCTATCCCAGTGCACGTCCTCCTCGATGCGGCTAGCCTCCAGCGCATGCTGCAGCGCCTCTTCGAGGGCGGCTTGGTACTCCGCCTCCGCCTCCATGTCCTCCGGCTCTACCTGCGAGGGCGGCAGTGGGAACGGCGGCGGGACGGCGTCGACACCCGAGCGCCGTTGCTCCTCGTGTTCGAGGGCGAACCAAGCCTCCCAGTTAGGAGAGTCGGCGGCGTACTCGGGCAATCGACGCTGCTCCGGTGTGAGCAGCGCGCGACACCGGCGCACCTCGTCGTCGTGCGCCCGTTGGGTCCGCGAAACCGCCGGCATCGGGATCCGGTTTGAATCCAAATGCCAATGGTGCGGCAGCGTCACGTCGGGGTAGGGAAGGGGCTGCATGTACTCCCAGTGCCATCGCGCTTGGTGCACCGGGATGTGCAGGCGTCGGCGTCCAGGGCGGAAACGCGCCGGCGGTGGAGGGGGAGGGGAGGGGGAGCACGGGATGACGAGGCGTCGGGGGTGCCCTTCCCCTTGCCATTGCTTTTGCCGAAGAGGCCCATGGCACGCGCTAGGGTTTGCGGTCGCCGGCGAGGAAGCAAAGGAAGTGGTGGGGGGCCAGATGTGGACGGGAGAAGTGGATGAGGCTGACCCCGCCGCACGCGTGGTTAAAAAAGGACGCGCACATTGGCTGACGCATGGGCCCGCTGTCGGTGGTCGTCATAAATAAGACGACTGGTGGCCGCCAGGTGGGGACGCGGCGGACGGTGAGGAGACGCGCGGCGCGTCCGTTTCGCGTCCGCGCCGACGCATTCCAGGCGCAATTTTGGGCCGGAAATGGGTCGACGCGGACGCCGGGCGGACACGATTTGAGTTTAGGTTGGCGCGTTGGGCTGCCACTTTTGTCCGCGCCAACTCAAACGGACGCGGACGGATGAAATGGGTCGTCCC